TTAACATTCTAAGCAGTTCGGAGAACCGGTTGTTAGAAGAAATTACAGGGCTAATCCTGTAAGGAAGGCAGGAAGGAAACATTCTGGTGTTGCTTACAGAAACTGCCTCTCTGTTAACTCTTATTACATTCTTGGCAGGAGTAGACTTCCTGTCTCAGGAACTTCTCTAGAGATTTTTTTTTCCCCCCTCCTTTGCTTGTGTGGAGGGACCATTCAAAGATGCAATGGCACTGAAAAAAAGTGACTTATGACCATTTTTCACACTTACGACTGTTGCAGCTTCCCCACAGTCATGAGAGGCCAGGCGAGGAGAGGCGTGCCTCGATGCGAGTGATGCTGAGTTGACCACACCCAGCCAGTCACATGACCACCAAGCCATGCCCACCAACTAAGCCACGCCCACAGAACCGGTTGTTAAAGAATTTGAATCCCACCCCTGGATGACATCCCCCGAAAATAAAACCTGGTGCCTTTATAGATAGATACATACATGCATGCATACATACATGTATGTATGTATACGACAGGGTCTTATGTTCAGGGAAAGACAATATCATGCCACCCCTAAACTCCAATCTGTGTTTATGGAGATTCTCAACCATCCAGCTCATGACTGTACCAAAAGCGCTTTTCCAAAAAGCAACTGGATTTTCTTCTATATTTTTCCCTAGGTATCTAAAGCCCGAAGTTTAACTGGCAGCGATGAGCCAGCTATTTTTATCTTATTTTTCCCCCATTCCTGTGGATGATTTGTCACTATTCATCCGTTAAGAAGAATCTCCTCCAGGGCTAAAAATGACTCATTTCAATGTGGTAGCCTCTGGACAATTTGCCATTTTAAGAAAACCGTCCCGAAGGCAGCCTACGTTTCAGACTGGCTCCTTGGAAACAAATTCAGACACAACACGGTGTTGAGGTGACCCACGATGTGATATCTTGCAAGACATGTTTGCACGAACGTTATTTTGTTTTCTTAACAAGAATGGTGCAGTGAGTTGTGCAGCTTTCACCTCATAAACCGGAGCCTGTGAGTCCGATCCTAAGTAGAGGCAGATATTTATTTCTCTCACTCTGGGCACGTTGAGAATATATCTGCCGAATGTAACTCCGCACTGGCAACAGGGAGGGCATCCGGCCAGTAAACACTCGGCTCCATTCAGTTGCCCAGACTCCACCCCGCAGGGGATTATGGGGTTATTAAAAGAAGAAGAAGATGATTGTGATGATTTTGTTTTCTTAGAACAACTCATTTAAAAAAGCAAAGGTAAAGTGTTTGTGTGAAAGCTAATAAAGTCAAGGGGGTGATGACCCAATTGCATGGCACAAAGGCAACCCAGTCAGATAATCAGTATAGTCGCTATATTCGCTGCAACTTTGCCCCCAATATCCTGGTTACCTTCTGGCTGGAGAAAAACCTCTGCAGAGAATCAAGTCCAAAACATGGTCAACAAAAACTGTAACTTAAAGTCCAATCAAGGCAAAATGAGGTAATTAGTTTGGCAGGGCAGGAGCAAGAATTCCAGACATGAAGGCACACTCAATATGGTTGGGAAGAAGCCAGGAACACAGATAAGCCACGACAACACAGGCTAAAGTCACATTTGCTCCCAGCAGCTGCCATAGTCAGCATGCATTTCTTTTAAACTCTCATTCCCAGGTGTGGCTAATGTAGGGAAGTTTAAAAGAGATGCATGCTGAGCGCAGTGTCTGGTGAGAGAAAACGTGAGTTTAATCCTGTGTTGTCGTGGCTTATCTGTGTTCCTGGCGTCTTCCCCAACTGTGGTGAGTTTTGCCTGGCTTTCAAGTTTGAAATTCCTTCTCCTGCCCTGTCAAGCTAATTACTTCAGTTTGGTTAGTCTGGAGTTTAAGTTACAGTTTGTGTGTGCCTTGTTTTGGACTAAATTTTCTAGAATCAAAGGCTGTGACTGGGAGAGTTTTTCTCCAGGCCGAAGGCAACCTGGACACTGGTGGCAAAGTTGGAGCTATTTAAAGGAACTCTTCTTGCTTATCTGACTGTGTTGCCTTTGTGCCACGCCCCTTTGGGTCACCACGTAGCCATTGAGCCGCCAAGTCTCTCTAAATACATCAATCTTAAAATGTGTCAAATAGAAAACTCCTCTAAGGAAGGAGCTCAACTTAACATCGCTTCCTGAGAGCCTGCAAAATGGTTGATGGCTTCGCCAATGGTGTGTGTGTCTGTGTGTGTGTCTGTGTGCGTTTGTGGTTTTAGGGATTCGATGATGGACACGCAAGAGGAAGGATCGAAACCCGGAAAGCTCGAAACTCACGGTGGGATCGTTGGTCTCGCGAAGCTTGTGGGTTAACTTCAGCAGCTTCTCGGCCGAGGCACGGGCCACGTTCGGAGCCTGGAAGAAAGAACGCAACTTAGCGGAACACCTCAACGTACGACTTACATTCGAGCCCGAAGATTTACGGCTGGCTGAGTGGGAAATTTGAAACCAGCCAAAATAAATAAAAATAAAAATCAGACTTGTAATTATTGTCACCATTGCCAGGGGAAAAAAAAGAATCTGCGAAATAGAACACAACGCTCACCATCTCTTTAATGACTTTAATTTCTTCATTCTTGCTCAGCGGCTTCATATAATGGAACAGGAAGAGCGTTAAGAGCTCTGGGCCCAACCACTGCTGAGTGGTACTTCCGACAGAAGGCGGTTCCGCCAGCGCTATCACTCGGAAGGAGGGATGGATGGGAAAAATAGCCCTGGGAGAAAAGGATTTAAAAGAAGAAAAGAGCACAAGTCTAGCTGTTTTGCCTCGTAAAGAGTTGAGATTACAGCAGATTAACAGAGTCGGAAGGGATTGTAGGTCATCTCATCCAGTGTTCGCCAACCAGTGGGCTGGGAACCACCGGTGGTCCGCGAGAAAATTTGGGTGGTCCACGGAGAAATATTACCCCCCAAAGCAATTAATTCAGGCTGCGCGGGAACACAAGGCTTGCGTCGCTTGCATTGTGACCAACACGAGGGAGTGAGGGGAGATGGGGAAAGGGCGAAGGGGGGGGACTTGCCCCACTCACCCCACATGCCTGGCCTGGCCACCGGGCTGCTTCTTTCTTCTTCTGCTTTTGGTTGCACGCAAGGAAAGCAGCAAAAATCTTTCTTTCTCTCCCCCAAACTGCCAGAAAGGAGTCTTTGGGACCCTGCAAGGCCTCCTGCTCCAAGAGGCTGTGCTGCAAAGACTCATTTCTGGCAGAGTTTGCGGGAGAGAAAGAAAGACTTCTGCGGCTTCTGCTGCTTTCCTTGCACGAAGCCAAAAGTCTCTCTCTGTCTCCCCCTGAGAATGGATCTGGAGACAGTATCCCAAATAAAGAACGATCGATCGGTAGGAAGATGGGGTGGGGAATTTTCCTGTATACTTTTTAGGGGATTTTCACAGGGTCCGCGGGATTTAAAACTACGAGTTTGGGGGTCCCTGAGGTCCAAGAGGTTGGCGACCCCTGATCTAATCCAACCCCCTGCCCAAGCAGGAGACCCTACACCATTTCACAACTGAAGGGAAGCTGAACATTATTTAAAACCAAGATGTTAGTGCAAAGGAAACACGCTAAGTTCTGATTAGGTGGATTTATGGCTCGTGCTTTCACACAAGAATCTAGACAATTGTCAGCACTAAATTGATGCTAGATAAGAATGAACAGAATTCAAGAAGAGGTTGGACTTAGACCGTTTGTGACAATGTAATGATTCCAGGCCGATTCCTCTCTTGACTCCACCCCCAGGCTCTGCCTATTCTTCTACACAGGTTCTGTTTCTGCATTTCTGTTAGAATTAGAATAACAGCGCTGGGAGGGATCTTGAAGGTCTTCTAGTCCAACCCCCTGCTTAGGCAGGATTCCCAGTACCATTTCAGGCAAATCCTTGTCCAATCCCGTCTTGAAAACCTCCAGTGTTGGAGCACTCACAACTTCTGGAGGCACGTTGTTCCACTGATTGATTATTCTAACTGTTCATGACTTGATCCCAAAATAAATACCCAAACCAGCATATTTTTTAACACACAACTTAGCTTGAATTGACTAACCCAATCAGACATTAATAATCAAACCCTTACCTGTCTGTGTAATTGCTTTTAAAACTTTCCTTCACCCGTCGACTAATTCACCGAGGAGATTTTCCCTTCGCTACCTATTACCAACGATTAATTATGCCCAATTAATTGGAATAAGCCAGGGTAGCATGCAGATATGACCTATTTATTCAACCTAGAAACAGTGGCCCTGTGAGCTCCGCGTACAACGACATTTCATTATAACCTGGGTCTGTTCGTGTAACGTTCACAGTGACACTAAAGCTATTCTGAGTTCTTTGCCAGGGCTCCCAAGAGAGTTGTGTATTCTGAGGTAAAAGATTTAGTCCAACTTCAGCCTGCAGGAATAACGTGCGCAAATTGTACCGCAGTGAGCTCTCCCCCCCTTTTTTTGGGGGGGGGGGAAGGGAAGCCCAAACAAAAATGCTAAAGGGACAACTCAACTGCCTGTTGAAAAAAAAAAAAAAACCAGCTCCTGCAGATCAAAGCTCTGAAGTTCAAAGGGGTTATTTTTAGCCGAATGTCGTCCTTTAGCGATAAACACAGACAGAGAAAGATCGGAAAGGAACATGAGAAATGGGGACAAATGACTTGAAGGCAGCTGTCGGCATGCAGAAGGGCAGCCACGATGCGTCATTTTTATTTCAAAATAAAAATAAAAAAATCTCTTTTGAGATGACATAGGTCAATGTCAACATCAATTTGTTCTTCTCAGGTCCTCCCGTTGGTGGAGGCTTATGGAGACACTAACAAACACACGTTAGTCTCACTAAACCCTTTTTTCTTTATTTCTACGGTTGTGAATTTTAGTCATCCACAGCCCATCATGAGTCTGAAACCGTTTGTAAAGAGTCCCGTGGAAGTTTGCTAAAGTCCTTCGGGAGAAGTCTGATCAGCACCCACCTTTATCTCCCTTGAAATGCTGCCAAACGACTAAAGTTCCAATTAGTTACACGAGGCCAAATGAAGCACAAATTCAACACAGAGCTTCAGGTTTCAAACCGACCAGTACGAACAAAGTTGCTTCCTGCAAAGGCTCATGTCCTTTGGCTCCTCCTTTATGTCTTATGGGAGAGGCCAATCATCTCCAAGTCTCACTCCTGCGTCACCCCTTT